AGCCTGCAGGAAATAAGCAGCCTCAGCGGTGACTTCTTGGCTGTGGAAGGCCTCTCACAGGATGTGTGCCTAGGGAAAGGCTGGGCAGGAAAGCCTGGGCTGCAGCTGTAGCTGCAGCCTTGTGTGCAAACAGGAAGGTTCCCTGCTGCCCCTCCTTGACACAAACACCCCAGTCCGCGACTACACAACTGTTAGTTCTCAGCTATGTTGTAAACTCCTGTTGGGGCTGTAGATTTTGTGGCATTTGTTTTTCAAATCTTAAGTGGCCTTCCTAAGTGAGTTATGATTGTGGGACATAAGATATTTACAATTGTATGTTAAGTATGTAAGCATTTAGTACTTTCAAAAGGCTATGTGCAATCATCGCTAATCTAGTTCCAGAATATGTTCATCACAAAAGGAAACCCCCTACCCATTGATCAGTTACTTTTTAGTCCTCTCCTCTAATCACTTGCTTTGAGTTCCCATGGATTTCCTTATGCTGGCTGTGTCATGTGACTAGTCACGTTTATGTAAGAAGCCTTTTCTGTCACTCAGTACAATGTTCCCTTGGGTTCATTCAGGTGGAAGCATGGATCAGGCCTTCATTCCTTTTCATGGCTGAGTACATCCCATTGTATGGACAGACGACATTTTGATTACTAGTCAGCAGTTGATGGCAATTTGGGCTGTTCCCACCTTTTGGCTATTGTGAATAGTGCTGCTATAAACATCTGTGTCCAAATTTTTATTTGGACATCTGTTTTCAATTACTTTGGGTATACATATAGGAAAGGAATTGCTGAAATATATGTCAGTTCTATTTTTAACTTTTTGAGGAGCTGCCAAACTGTTTTCCATCATTTCGCATTCCCACCAGCACTGCATGAGGGTTCTAATTTTTTTACATTCTTACTAAGTGAATAGAAGTAAATACTGTAATCTGAGCGTACAGAGTACATGGAGGGGAGATTGCAATCATTGTAATGAGACAAGGAATATGATTTGTTGAATGTAAAACTGATGATCTGTACTGTAAAACTTCACTCAATTCAAAATAAAAAGTTTTTTTTTTTTTAATTTAATTTTAAGTCACATGGGGAAACACAAAACCAAAATAAGATGTGACTTTATACCCACTAGGATGGCATCACTCCCTTAAAAAAAAAAAAAAAAAAATTTTATTATGAATTGAGTGAAGTTTTACAGAACAAATCATTAGTTGCTACGGCACATAACAACAATGGCTATTGTGTGGTGCTGGTGTGGTGCTGTGGGTTAATGCCCTGAACTGCAAGGTTGGTTTAAAACACGAGATTATTGGTTCAAACTCACGAGCTGCTCTTCAGAAACCCTATACAGGGTCGCTATGGGTTGGAAGCAACTTGACAGCACTTAACAACAATGACTAGTAATATTTGACATGTTTGCATGTGTTTATTGATGATATATAAATATATTTGGAGAAAGGTCTATAGATCGTCTATTTTTAAATTGGACTAGTCAATCTTTTGTTACTGAGTTATAGAAATTCTTTATTATTATATTCTATATGCAAATCCTTAAGATAGATGATTTGCAAATATTTTCTCCCATTCTGTGGGCTGCCTTTTTCTTTTCTTTTTTTTGCAGTACAAAAGTTCTTAATTTTGATAAAGTGCATGTTTTTCTTTTGTTGTTTATGGCTTCGATGTCTTGTCTAAGAAACCATTATCAAATAAAGTCAAAAAGATTTATCCCTATGTTTTCTTCTAAGAATTTTGTGATTTTTTGCTCTTATATTTAGGTCTCTGAACCATTGTGAGCTAGCTAATTTTTGTTTAAGGGTCTACCAACCATTTAAGTGCTATCCAAAGCTGCCAGGGAGGCCGCTCTGACCCTGAGAAGGCACTATGGGGAGGAATGTGAAACAACAGCAAACTTCTAAGCCTACCTCTGGTTGCCTCAAAACATACAGTCAGGAATCTTTGAGAACAAGGTCCATATTGCCCTGTCATTAGCAAGCTGCACCAGGAACCTGGACAGCTGTCCCTGTTGCTCCCCAGAAAAAATGCCATAGCACTCTCTTACCAAAATCTAGTAGCAGCTTTCATCACCCAGCACTCCCCTAGCGGGGTTAAGTTTTTTTAAATTAATGTTCAGAGTTCAGGAAAAGTTGATTCTGACCGTTTTTGCCCGGTTATATAGCTGTTTTATTGAAGGGATGGTTTCTAGGACTTTGCTACTCTGCCACTTTCAGTGATGCCACTCCCTCAAGTGTCTAGTTTTTGGAACAAGCCGAAGTTTAGTGACTGCCTCCACATGGCCACAGCAGTAGCCTTCATTTTCCTCCACTACATCTCTCCCCCTCCTGATCCTCTGAGTTATCGGATATAGTTTAGTTACCTAAACTAGAAACTTGAGTCATTCTGGTTAGATCCCTTCAATTCTCACCTCCAATAGTTACTCAGACATCAAGTTCTGCTATTTCACTTCTTAAATATTTCTTAGGAATCAACAACATTCCCTTTTCTCCACCCACAACATTATAGTTCTAGTTTATAGTAGAGTGAATTCGACTTAATCCCAGTCTTGCATTCCTTAAAGATTATACCATTGTTGTTAAGTGCCATCGAGTCAGTTTCGACTCACAGTGACCCTTGTATAGTGTTTCCGAGTGGATGGCGAGCTTGAACCACCGAACTTGTGGTTCAAACCAACCTTGCAGTGCAGTGCATTAACCTACAGCACTACACCAGGAGACCCCTATATACCATGGAGCCATCAAATAATGGAACTTTGGCCATGCTACTAAATTGCTCAAAAGCATTTGAGACTGACAACTAAACATGATGTGCCTCTCGATGTGATGCAACAGGAAATGCATAGCACCACCTATGAGACATTCATGCCGAAGAAGTTGAATATGAATCAAAATCAAGCTTTTAGATCTAAAGTCTAACTTACAGGAAATACAGGGGACAGAGAACAAATTAAATGACACCAAGAAGACGGAGGTAACTCTAGAAGATGCACTATACAAAGCCAATTGTCCTTGGTCTTTTCACAATGGCAAGACAAAAATACGTATGTTGGTATGACCAAAAAAAAAGTGTTGGGGAAAGAGAGTAGTGTTCTAGATTAAGAGAGAAGAGTTGTAACAATCAAATGGAATGAGTAGGCGTTGTTTAGGTCCTGACTTGAGTAAACTATAGCATACGCTAAACGCTATTGTCTGAAACAACTGGGGAAATGTGATTGTGAACTGGTGTGAGGTGCTCAAAGACAAATGATCGTTAACAGTAACAACGACAAGTTCTACACAAGGGGGAAAAGCACATGTCTATGGAAATACTTAGGGATGAAATGACATGCTGTCAGGGATTGGGTTTGTTTTAAAAGAATACAGTAGCAATTTAAAAGCAAGCAAGAAAACTGGGATAGAGAAAGGAAGTATGACAGAATATTGATAACTATTGGGGTTCATGATATGATTGATCATTTGTTTTTGTGGATGCCTGGAAATCCTCAAAGAAAAAGTAAGACAGTCAAACAAGCTGTAATGGCTTTTTACTTCTGACAGGTTAAAGTGTAAGTTTCTTAACATGCCATCTAAGGTGCAAGATCACAGCCTCTGGTAGGTATCTTGTATTGTGTTGTATTTTATGATTCAGCAACAAAATCTACTTATAGTTTTTTGTGTGAACCCTGCCCTCTCTTGTGTTTTTGACATTTGGCAATTGGTAGGATTCCTTGGCTCACTGATGTATGGAGTAAGGGGCTAGATGGTGAGGAGAAGCTCCTCTCTACAAAAAAAAAAAAAAAAAAAAAAATCATGCCATATTCTTGCAGGAAGTTTCCATCAAATACTTCAAGACGCAGAGGGGATGATTCCCAACACACCTCCTTTTGCTTCCTTGTCTGGCCTACACAGGAGAATGGGCGTTGGAGAAGACCTATGCATAATCAAGAGCCTAATCAGGTGCTGACGCCAACTGCAGCTGCTGTTCCAGATGTCATTTCTTATCAGAGCATATAAACACAGCCTGTGGCAACTGATATATGCAGCTATTGATCTGGAAGATGTTTTTATTCTCTGTCCAATAAGCACAGAGAATACCAGAAGCAGTTTACATAGACCTCAATCATCTGTCATCCAACAGGTTAACATCCTAGTCTGCTATCTGAATGGCATGGAGACAAAGCCAAGAGAATAGGAAGCAGCAGATACTCTTGTTGTCAAAGCACATGTTGCTGCATCCTCTATCCCCAACCACTAAGAAGCAGCCCAACCCTGGGATTCTGGAAGCTAAAGCTGACATTTGGTGATGGCTTTGGAGCTAGGTGCGGTCACATGATTAAATCTAGACCAATGGCTAAGAGGAGAATGTCTGTCACTTTTAAGGCATACACAGCTTACAAAACAGTTGCCTGCCCTGGTCACTTATCTCTTTCTCCTTCCTAGAGGCTGAAGCAGAGTGTGGCTATCACCCAGTCCCAATCCTGAAGGGGGATACCCCTCAGGGATTTGTGAGGAGTGACCTACCAACCCCACAAGGGCTAGTTATGACAGCAAACTTCTGTAGTATTGAAGCCACTGTATTTTGGGGCTTTGTTTCTACAGCAGCTTAACTCTTACCTTAAGCCACACAGTAAGTGATTATGTAAATGCGCTGTCACACAGGGTGGCTAGAGAAGCAATAATTCTTATTACAGTGATTACCTCTTTATTCATCCAGGAGGCTGATAATTCTACTTCATAACCTCGGTCACCAGTATCCTATCCTCATCTCATTAAAATGCATCACATGCTTATTTACTTAGATAATAAGGAGAAAGGGACCAACACTGACTGAATTCCTCTAAAAATGCCAGGCATTTTATACAGTGCATTTTCAGCAAAGCTCCATGAGGCTGCAAAGATTAGGGTGACCTGAGAACTTTTTCTCCCCACAATCCACACTGCCCCCTCTTGCCAAGAAGTTAGGATGACTTGAAAGCTGAGAGGCCTTCCGTAAGTCCCAATGAGGGATGTTACTCACATAGATGTCCGGTACTTGATGTCATCTTTCTCAGCTAGTTCTTCACAGGTGAGACCATTGTGTTCTTTCCAGAGTCCCTGACACTTCCTACAGGTTTCCTGAGGACAAAGAACAGACACAAACACAGATCCTGATGAGGGGAGGCTAGGCCAATTTCTGTCCAACAAAAGGAACATGGAATGAGTCTCACTTGACTGGATTTGGTCAGCAGCTCTTGCTTCCTCGCAGCAGGGAGGTTTCTAAAGAAATCACGCCACAGAGGAGGTGAAAATCCTTACAGGGAAGCATGGGAGAAACATCCAAATCAAAGCAAAGAGTAGCATACATCTCCCAATTTGTACAAGGCTTTCTAAAATGCCAGGAACACCCAAAAGAGATAGCTTGAAAGTGACCTTGGATTCTAAAATATAAAATTCTGTGAACTGTTTAAGGGCAAGGTCTAGATCTTATGAATCTCTACACCGAGCAAATCTTCTGCTGACTTGAACTATAGAAGGGTTTAGAGTGGGATCTAGAGTGGGATCACGAGAAGCCTAAGGGAAGATATTACCTTAGTCACCTGTCACTTAATACAGGGATGCCATCCCCCATAGCTTCATTTCATTTGTAAACAGGAATTACCATTTTGTTATAGAATTCTACATAATTAATAACAGTCCCACAAATTATCTCATTTTACTAACAAAGTTAGTAACTATATGCTAGGTATTAGGCATACTGTATGGCAGGGATTAGGGAACAGTGTTGAGCAAAATGGTCTTGGTTCCTGGCCTCTTGGAGCTAGCAAAATCACAACCTTGATTAAGGGCAGTAATGTAAGAAAGGGTGCCTGGTCCAGTCTGAGGAGATAGTGATGTGTTGGGAGCTGAAAAGACAAGTCAGTGAGCGCTGGGAAGGTTTCAGACTGAGGGACAGTGAGTGGTCCTAGTTCCAGGGCTACCACAGTCCACACAGGGCCCGGGGTGGGCTAATCATCAGTCTGACCTTTGTCCTCAGAGTGACAGGTTTGAAAATGAAAGTGACAGAATCAGACTTGTGATTGTATGAGCTTGTACTATGAGGAAAACAGATGGGTGAAAGTGTCAAAGGCAGTTAGGAGACCCTCACAGTCCTCTGGGAGAGATGCAGGAGCTCAGACAAGGGAGTTATGAGCAAATGAAGATGATTTGAGAGATATCTAGGAAGTGAAACCAGCAAGCTTAGGGGTGGCTCGGCTGTCTGAGTGTGCGGAAGGGAAGTGTCCAGGATGAAGACTAGCTTTCTGGTTTTTGACAATGGGGGAGATGGGGGCAATGGGAAAGGAGGGCAGATGCTCAGATCATGACTTGACTGGCAATGCTGATAACAGAGATACAACACCCAGAGGAGCTACCAGGCAGGAAGTTGGGTGGAAACGTCTGGCACTCAGGAAAAGTTCAGGCAAAACTGTCATTACCAGATGTGCTGGGTAGTATCTTCATTTCACTTCTAGATATTTCTCTACAGCTGTATTCTCACATTTGAGAGGATGCACTGAATATCCACACACTGAAATATTCTACAGTTGTTTATAAAATGAAGACAGTAATTTTTTGTTTCTGAATGCTCCATTTAAATAAGAGTAGTATGTGACCACATCTATATAAATCTGTGTGTGTGTGTATGTAAGAATATAATCATGTATAAAATATACTTTAGAAGATACCCACACAATTGGTAATATTGACTGAACTGGGGTGGCCAAAAAGCAGGGATATGAGACTTTTCAATGTATGTTCTAAATTTTATAGGATACAAATGTGCTACCTAATACAAAAATAAGTAAAATTTAAAAAGAGTGAAAATGAAATAGGCTTCTCAAGGAAATGAAAATGAAACAGCCCTTTGGTGGTGGTGTTGTTAGGTGCCATAGAGTCGATTCCGACCCACAGTGACCCTGCATAGGGTTTCCAAGGAGCAGCTGGTGAGCTTGAGCCACCGACCTTGCAGTTCAAAGGACTCTGCAGTCTGACGCATTAGCCCACAGCGCCACACCAGGACTATAAAAAAAGCTTTGATCATTGGGTGGGTTAGAGAGTTGCTGAGCTGAGCTACTATATTTAAATGATGTTGCTTCTGGTAGACATGCATGTTCTTCTGTCTACTATCTACAGCCCTGTTAGTGAGCAGTGTACTTAACTCTCACCCACCCAAATGCAGAGCAGCACAAAACCAGTGTTTAAAACACCTTGGACCGTCTATTCCGGGAAACTGGAGGATAAACAACAGCTGGAGAGTAAATGAGCTGGTATTTGGATCCTAACCGGCACAACAATACCTTAGCCACCCCCAGGAAGAGCAGCTGCAAACAAAATGCGGCATTCATTTCATGCTTTGCAGCATTCCTGCCAAGTCAGTTATTAATTCATGAAACTCATCATCACAAAAGGAGCCCTGGCTGTGCAATGGGTTAAGTGCTCAGCACTAACTGAAAGGTTGGTGATTTAAACGCACCAGCTACTTGGCTGGAGAAAGATGAGAGTGTCTGCTCTCATAAAGATTTACAGTCTCAGAAGCTCTAAGGTGGAGTTCTCGGTCCTATAGGTCGCTGAGTCAGAATAGATTTCAATGGCAGTGGGTTTTTGGTTTTGGTTCTTCACAAGGGAAGAAATCCGTTCTCTAGATGAGACCTGGGACACCATGAGAGTACAATAACCTGTCCAGGCTGGTGCTAGGTTGTGAGGCATCACTATGAAGCCGCTGCTCATTTTCAGTGTCATGGTGGCTTTACAGTCAGAGCTTTCTTCAAAGAAGGGCCCCAGAGCCCCAGAGGAAACCAAAACGTCTTTTAAAGAGACCATGTAGCTAGACGCTGAAACCCACAATTAAATAAAGCAAGCAAGTCCAGGCTGGGCAGATGGGGAATTTTCTGGAGATAGAACTTGATCTTCTCAACACTGACCAGAGGGGCTCTCCTCTTCAGGATGGCTAGGCTTTGTCCTAAACCCAACAATGCAAAGCTGAGGAAATGCTCTTGTATGTTGATTTACCACGAAGACAATGGCATTCCTCAAAGTGAAGTTGTGACAAAGTTTGCAGGACATGCTGTCAAGTAACTTCACACTGAGAAGGACACAAACAGCCTGCCTCTCCAATTGAATCCAAGGCCTGGGTTACCACTACCTGCATGCATGTCCAGTTGGGAGGAAACAGATGGATTCACCATTGTCTAAAGTGTAAAAATGACGGCAGTGCCTTCTTTCTAGACAAGGAATGAGCTGTCCACTGGTGCCAGACTCAGAGTGGCAGTCCATCAGTGCTCTTGCTGACATCATGGGGGGTTAAAGTCTGGAGAAGTTTTAGGCTGTTCCTTAAGTCTCAAGCACATCAAGGTGTGACTGTTCACATAAATGTGCACTTTGCAACAAAACTGAGATGCCCAATTCTCCAGTTTCCCTTCACCCATTTTCTGATGCTGATAGGATGTTTTACAGACAAAACATAAAGCTAAACTCTGTTTCTTCATATAGACAGTGTCCTCAAAAAGTCATCACACATGCAGGCAAGCAGGATTTCCTTCCAGGTCTAAGAGGGTACAGTAACTGTTGGCAGGACAAATACCTGGAGAAGACAGTCTGAAGGCCTGGTCACCAGAACCTGCGTATTCTGACATTGCTCGGCCCCTGGCACCCTGGACATTATTGACTTGACTTCCACTCTCCTCTCAGAAGCTGGATGCAACAGAAACAACTTATTTCTGAGTGGTTTCTCCAAGTAAACATCTAAATCAACTCTCTGGGGGAGAAAGGTGCTGGCATTGATACAGAGCAAGGGGATGTAAAATCCAGCCTCTGAGATACTAGCTAGGACAATGTAGGCCTTAAAAGCAACAATAACCTCCCTCCCCCTGAAAAAAACACCAAGGCTGGAAACCCAGACCTGAAGTTTAGTGGTGAGGGGTGGGTACCTAACTGCTCACTAACATTAGCCAACACTATGGCCCACCTGGCTGTTGTCAGAGTTGCTAATCCTCCCCATCCCTAATGACATATGGACACAAGCCAGAAAGTCCACAAAGACACTGATTTTAAGAAGGGGAAGCAGATGTTATGTAACCTCTTGAGACTCCATAAATCAATGTAGGGCTTGGATAGGACCAGAGGGCTTTCCTTCCGTTCATGAAGGCAATCTCAGAATACTAATGTTTCCTTATCCAAGGAGGTGGACCTCAAATAAAGCTTAGTTCTTACTCTTGAAAAGCTCCATCCAACAAGGAAAATCAGTATGTGAGCAAATTAAGACTGAACTGTGAGAAGAGCAGAGTTAAGTGTAATAATGTGTGTACACACACCAGAGAGAGAGCAAAGATAGGGAGTAGAAAGTCAGATAATGCTGAGAAGTTGCCATCTTCACAGGATCTACTAGAACCGGTATCCTGAACAGTAACAGTTGTGTCACCTCTTCCTCCTGGAACTACAGCTCTATGTAGTGCCTTTCTCACCCACAGCAGTCGTCGTAATTAACACTGAGCACTGGACCCACAAACAATATGTCTCAATATCAAAACAGTCAACATACAAACACATTAATGAGTACAAAGGGTCTTGATGTCGTCAACTACAATTACTTTGAAATACCATTTATTTCATCTTATCCACTGACATTTTTTATCTGCTGTATGTGGAACAGCAGTACTTTATACATAATCTATTACTAAATGTATCTATGGGGGGGGGGGCTTCTGTTCAACACAATCTTCTCAACATGGAGAGCAAACCCTAGAGACTGGGAAGTCAGATAGGGGTGCACAGGGCAGTGGTCTATCTGCACTTCAGGACACCTGGATGGAGGGGAAGGGACAGAGACTAGTGGCAGCAGACAGTCAGGAAGCGAATGGAATCATGTATGAAAGAGCAACACCCAGGCAGGAGGAAGGTAGAGAGATGTTTCTTTGGTAGAAATAGCCGGGAAGAGGGTGAGAGAAGCCAGGAGTAGTTTCTAGGTTTCTGGCATGGGCCCTGGCGTGACTGGTGGAAACATCAACTCTGAAGAGAAGCAGAAGGCGGAGGGGAGAATGGGGTGTCTATGTTAATTTTAGCCTGGCTTATTTGTTGACTCACTCACCCGTTTGCTCTCCCAC